TTCCTGCTTTTGACCAACATGCTGCAAGTTACAAAACTGGAGAGGTGTATAGAGGGTATATTTAGCTCACAACTATAAAATCCAAGAAAATCAAAACTAAAACCACTAAAATTACCTTACAATGTTCATAAAATCTACCAGCGTAATCTTAGAAAAAGGCAGTTTTATTTTCTTATTCAAGAGCACAAGATGAACCTATTCTGACTATGGAAAAGCTTTGTTATAGTACTACATACACAAATCCTGCCTCAGCTGCCTCACTTTGCTGTTGGGTAGAAAGAAGAGTTTACGTGAAACAAGGCACACCATTAAAATTTCATTTTCTGTGTCTCTGAACTTGGAGGAATACAAGTTTTCAGTATGCCTTGCACACACTAAGTACTGCTGAATATTTGAGAAAAGGTCAGATCCCACAGCCCTTAATTTGGGAACTAGCATTGGCAGAGTCTTTTTATCTAAATTTGTCTCTGCATCTATTCCTCTCATCAACTAGGGGATAATAACTTCTCTGTAACTTACTACAGAAATTTCCTCCAGCACAGTCCTTAATAGTCTTAATTATTCAGATTACTAATCACAAATAGCACTAAAGAATGCCAAGATAATAGCTGTGTTTTCCAAACATGAATTAAAAAGCTCACAGTAAATAAGGTTCAATGCCACACACTGAGCAGCAAAGAGAAAACTAAGCATTTTAAGCACCAATAATAAATGACCACTAAATAAGGAATAGGTCATATTAAAAAAAAATAGTATGTGATCATATTTTACAATGCATCCCCAAAAAAGAGCCAATAAATAATACACACACTACATTCATCTCGGCATTTCCTAACCACTTGACTCCACTTTACAAACTCAATATTCAGTTGTGGAGTTTTATATGGAATTGCTGCAAATTACAACATTACTTGTATACCTTTTCAATACCAAATTTTTCAGGTGTGAGATCTAGTATAAACGATACATAAAATGCTTTATGTTTTACTGTAAAGTACAATAACAATCCTGCATGAGGACTTGGTCCAAACTCAAGCTTTTGCTAAAACACATGCAAGTTTAAAACCAAGCAGGCCCTCACATATAGTCACACATATGCAGCCTGCACAAAGAACTGCTGAACGACAGGGACACATTACTCTCCTCAGTCACTTAAGGTCCCATGTTAATGTTATTATTTAGGCTTACTTATGGCATGGAGAAAACTTGATGGCAGAGAAGCTAGGGACTGATTAAATGGTCTCTTAGGCAGTAAAATTTCATTGTGTAGCCAATTAACAACTCAGCAGGACTGAATATGCAAGGAGCTATAGTAGTGGATTAATAACCCTATATACTGAGCCATAGTAGAACATAAATAATATATGCAATTCAAATTGGTGAGCAGAAAAAAAACAAACAAGCAAGCAATTAAATGCTACTACCTAAAAAGAAATTTGACCAGGACACCAACTAACACTTGGATACCCGCAGATGTTATGAGATTTCCAGTGCCTCCAGACAGACAAAGACCTTCATGATATACTGCATCTTAAAAAGTTGACATTTCCCTGGCACACTCTATCCAAGTATGATACCGGAGTCACTGGTCATTACTGACTAAATAAGAGTGATCTTGGTTATGGAAGCTTTAGATTTATGCTGCAGTTCTGTAGCCAGATGTGTGATTAACTGTAGACTTCTACAAAACTGACCACACTGTCATGACTCCTTAACACGGGACTGACATACTCATATATATTTTGTTCACATGCTTTTTTGGCAGTATACAAGATACATTAGCAATATGATTACATGAAAAAGCATTCAATCGTTTATGTCAGAAACATGTTATTTATCATTGTAATACATATAACCAGAAAAATCACATTATTTGAGGGTTTTCAGTGTATTTTATTCTTAAGTATGTGCAAGGTCCTAGAAATGCAAAAGTCTTGTTTAATTTGTGCCCTAAATTTCTATACAGTGGAAATTCTTCTATCCTAAAACAAGTATGTGTTTCTTCTCATATGAGCATTATTTTGAGCTAAAACAATCCAAGTAATCCATAATATGTCTCACCTAGTAGTTCATACAAAGAATTCAGAATAGATTTCCATGCTTCTCCAGCTTCCTTCCCAGCTACGTCTGCAAAATGAGCTGCACTGCTGTATACATTCAAGCGATCAATACATTCAAGAACAAGGTTGATCATACCCTAAAAATGGAAAGGCTCAGATTGTCAGAGAAAAAAAAAGGGGGTACTTTTTAGGTGCAAACATATAAGATTTTCAGAAATCTAATACAAAACATGAAATGCAGGATATACAAGACATAAGAATATATTTATGGAGTCAGTTAAGTGAAGTCAAACAAGGAATCCCTATGGAAAAATTTGCCTTGCCTGTGGTAGTAAAAAATTACAATTTAGGATGGTCAAAATAAACAGTATACCAGACATATTTTTAGGCAAGTTCTATTCTGGAATGCATTTAGGCATCTGAATAATATAGTTAGATATCATTACCAAAAAAATAGCAAATGATACTAAACAAAATACATAAAGCATGCTTATTAAGCCAAAACATTCTTCTGCATCAAGAGTTTAAACTATAACAGAATCTAATTAGTAATCTAACTAATAACCACTTCACATAAGAGTATATTATGGTTAAAATTCAAAGCACAAAGCCATACCATCTTTAAATAAAAAGAAAAAAAGAAAAAGGAAGAAAGGCCTTAAATGTATTTCTTTAAATACACAAGAAAATGAACAGATTGAAAGAGAATATAAATGTAGCAAATAGTTTGACTCGTACAGGACAAAAAAAAAACACCTCTGCAAAAATACTCCAGATTAGACATCAACACTGCAAAAGAATACTCGCAGACATAGTGGTGGAAAATTATGAGTAAAACCGAGAGAAGTACCTCTTCCTGGAAGAGGTTCTGGCGATTCTTCAGTGCTCGGAGCCTGTTTTGTTTGTCTTCATGCTCCAAATGTTCGTCAGGGGGGTGAAAGTAGCCAATCAAGTCCTGAAGGCTGAGACTGACAGACTCAATGGGCAAATCAATGGTGGAAGACTTTGCTTTCTTGCTGAGAGCATCAAGACCCCTACAAGAAGATGTTCAAAGTCTCCTGAGTATTGGAAGTTAATTTATTTTATCATTTAAACTCTATTAGTTTAAAAGCCAAGTTAGATTAGATGCAAAAGCTCAATTCATTTTCTGACACCTACATAATTTCTCAAAAATAACTTATGTCTGTCTCATTCTCCACTTATGGATTCAGCCTTCCCTTCCCAAACATAAATTGGAAATGCTCTCTCTTACCTTTTATTTTCGTAAATCCGGAAAGTACATTTTCATGTTCTACCTTTGCATTTAGCAGTATCAGAACCAGACCAAAAGGTGAAGAGAAATTACTGTAAACCTGTTCAAAGTCTCATGAGTCTGGAATGGACAGAAGTCAAAGAACCAGTCTTGTGGTGCGAAAGAGGGTCCAGCCAGTCCACGCAGGCTTTGACACATGTCTCTAACCAGTTTTTAAGCCACCTTCACTGCTGGAAGATGCAGCTTGTCCATACCCTCTGTCCTAGCACTTGGTTAGCCTTTTTGTTTCCCTCAAGGTTGGCCTTGCTGAAGTCGATCATTTCTCCCACAAGTAGGGGGCAGACAGTTCTCATCCATGGTGCAATTGCCCCTTGCTTAGCTCAATCCCCAACAAACCCCATAATCTATAAATCTCTGCAGCGCTGTGTTTTCTGGAACCCTGATACACCTTTCTCCTCCTTTCAAACTTCATCTTACTTGAAATGTGGCTGTTGCAGCTGAGATCTCACCATAGCCGAGCAGCAAGTGGAAGGAGAGGGCCTCCCCTTGCACCTCTCTGGCTCTCCTCGGGAAGGCAGTGCTACAGGGACTGGGGGCTGCAAGGGGCCTGCCAGAATCTTCCAGAAGGGGCAGGAGGGGCCATTAGGGGCAAAGAAACCAGGGGTGCTGCAGGTCTGAGAACATAGCACCCACCCTCGAGGAAGAGGGGAAGATCCAGATGATCCCGAAACTCTGCAGGAGCCTCTCCAGGGCATTGTAGTGCTGGGAGGGGAGCAGCCCTGAAGGGAAGGGCCCACCCTGGTGGCACAGAGCAGGGGAGAGAGGGCAGCAGGGGCTTGTTTGACATCCATGATTTCTCTTTTGATTCATTCTCAGTTCTGCCATTGTGAAAAGCCTTTTTTATTGCTAGCATATCTTTGAGTAAACCCAGCTACGCAGCAAAGGGGTCCTTTTCGTTTTCACTGGTGCTTCATTTACGCTGACCTAAAGACCACAAGCTTCAGCTGGCAGAGAAGTCCACCACATCCAGAGCAGCACCCTCCGAGCCCCGTGCTCATCCCCTTTTTCCTTTTTTTTCTTTCCTTAGAGGCACCAAAGATCCTCAGCAACCAGATCCTCAGCAATCCTCAACTCTCTCCTGAGCTGCACATCACCCTGCTCTCTCCCAGGACTCCCCTCCAGGCCACGACATGGAGTAGAAACTTCATTTTATACTCTGCATTTTCTTGTATTAAGGCAACACTGATAAGTATTTGGGGCGTGCGGGAGAAAGGTTGGGTGGTGGTTGGTTGTTTTGAGGCTTCTTTGGTGTTCGGGTTATTACTGGTGATTGGTTTTTGTTTTGTTTTTATTTTTTTAAATTGGGATGTCACCTGTATTTTCATCTCAAATGGTGAACTAGGGCTGGAAAACTTCTAAATTTAGGAAATATTATGTATATAGCAGGAATACTTACTGCTGAAAAATAAAAATCTCTTAGAATATATAATGCAATATTTTAGGATGATAGATACAAAAGTTATCTTTAAAACTTAATTTATATCCTAAGCACGTTATCTGAAGTGCAATTTTTCTACTGACTTCATGGGAAAGAACTGGGACACACACTCAAGAGAATAATTTTGATCCTTTCCAATTCAGCCTTTTTTTCTTGGAGTAACATCCTGCCAAAACTAAATTGTTAAACACTACCTTGGAGTCCCTGTGCACTCCACGAAAATCTCCACTGTAATTTAACAGCACCTTGATTTGTGAAACCTTATCATTAAATTGCCTTTCTCTGTCCTTATCTTTTATGGCATTCTGAGAAGCTTCTAAGAAAATGTATTCTTTACAAAGTGACCTAGAGTTTGCCTTTCTTTGGTATTTTAAATGTCATACAGTAAGCAATTCTCCTGACAGGCTTTTTTCTCTGTTGTTATTTAAGTACCTAGGTAAATGCTTTTAAAGGAATTGACATGTCTCTGTCTTCAGTTGTGTACTGATTTAGGACATGGCTGCCTCAGGTCACCATCTCGCACATTGTCTCTTCTTGTGACAAATGAGTTCACTGTTGTGTTAATGGCCACTTTGAATAAAATAGAAGGGAAAAAACAAAAGGGATGAAATGATCATTTTAAAAGCACACCTTATAAATCTGTTGAAAAGGAAGACTGTACTACGGATGACACGTGCTGTACGAGATTCTTCATTCTGAGATCTGGACAATGTTAAACCATCATCCATGTGACCTTCATGGTGCATTATTGCCTGCAAAACAGAAATAAAAAGCAGTCACTGCAAACCAAAATATCATTGACAAACAAGGAGCATGAAAACTCACATATTAAGACAGGCTGGAAAATTATGAAGTCACATACAAAAAAATAATTTAATTAAAAATAGATAATCCCACATTTTACTTCCTCGTAGTCTAAAGTTCCAACCAGCAAGTTCAGTGTCATAATAATCATAATGTGCATACATACACATACATGATACAGACAAATTTTTTATCTATCTATAAAATTATAAAGCATGTCCTTCCACGTATACCAGATGATGCTCTAACTTTGTAGTTCTGGCATGTAAAAGAGTCATATAAAGCACTACAGTATGGATAAGCATCATATTTTATTTTATTTTTATAAAGAAAGCTAAAACTTTTTTTCCTCACTAAGGAGTAATTTCCTGCAAAATTACACGTTTACAGTAAACACTAACACAAATGTACCTTCTAGAAGATGTGTTAAGTTGTAAAAGAATCTTTTTCCTGTTTGATTGAGCTGAGCTAGCATTCTGCTTAGCCACTACTGTTATACTTTAAAAAAAGAAATCCTTCAGGGCTTAAAGTTTGAACATTCCAGTCCAGAAGGTAATACACTCACTACACAAAAAGAAAAGACTTTGAACTAAAAGCCTCCTCAATCCAAACCACAGCACAGCACATTGAAGAAAGGAGTTTTAGCATATTCTACTGGCTATTACTAATATTTTAGTCTGACATCAAGTATATCCAGATTATCAACGTTTGTGGGTTAATGTGCACTTCGGCTTTCAGTTCAGGAATCCAATACATCACATAACTTGCCAACATGTGCCAGAAATACCCCCAACTGTCATAATGAAACAAAGGCATGCTTAAAATACTCAAAACCCAAGAGTTAGCTGTCTCCTATTGTTCCCTTGCTTTCTCTCCCTGCCCTATCAGACTGTGACTGAATGCTTTCCTGTTTACAGTCTTACCTTCCGCTGCACCGAACCCATTCTTACAGACTTTGCATCAGCAGACTGGTACGTGAGCCATAAGCCTGTATCTACATGTTGTATGAAGCATATCGAATCCCCGTATTTTATTTCAGGTGCCCCCATTCCATCCACCTCTTTTCTTGTCCCGATGTCCAACTTTTCCTGAAGAAGAAAAAAAAGTATACAAGAACAATTACCAACAACATGCTAATAGTTGCATAAAATACTGAGTACTAGGAAACTGTCCAGAACAGGACCTAACTGAATATTTGAGATCCTTCTTTAACAAAATGATCAAAAAATGGCAAAAGTGTAACTAGTTAAACATTTAAGGAAAAGACAGAAAGAGAGGGATCCCATCCACACAGAAACCTAGCTTATTACACTAGGAAAGCCGGGTGCGTTCATTTCACCTGCTTAGAAAGAACTAGGATCATAATTGACAGTACATGTCATTAGTGAAAGATGAAAGCTCACAAAACACTACTAAATACATTGAATCTCCCAGCTGAACCAGGCATTAACCTCCAAAAGTTTTTGGGGGGGAATTTTTTTGGTTTTTTTCCAGCCTGGAAAAGATGAGCACGTTCCTACAATTTCTTTCCAATTGCCACAGAGAGATGGCCTTTCACCTGTCACTGCCCACTCCTGCCCAACAATGGGCTTGGGATCTCCTGAGCAAAAAAAATCCATTCCTGTGGTTTTTTGACTGATCTGCTGGCATGCTGCAAAATAAAAATGGCATGACTATGCTTCAGTCTAGCTGGTGTGCTACACAGACAGCAGTTATTTCAGGAGAGGGAATTTAGTATCTCCAACAATACTATAGTTTATAACCGTAATCTGAGGTGTTTATCAATATCCAGCTTTCCAAGGACCGACTCCATCCCCACAGACATCAGCTGATATGATTAATAGCCCATGAACCCTGGTTCATGGCAGATTATCCATTTAATCTCTCCAAAAGCAAACTGACCAATATATCTCTTGTCTGCCTGCACTAGCTGTTAAATCCAAAGTATAGAGAAAACAAGGACCAGTATATATTTTGTTAACTCGAGGAAGGATTCAGCAATGTAGTTACTGTCGTTAATGTAGTTACACCCAAAACTTCTCAGGGGACTGTCTTTTCTGTGGCTGTTGCCACTATGTCCATTTTAGGCAAAAATCTTCTCCACTGAGACTAATAAAAACTCACTTTGACTCATTCCTTCCATTTCACATGATCAAATTATTGACATTGAAACTATTCATCACTCTTTTGGGAGGAGAGGGTATACATCACAACTGTTGCATCTGAAGCTGAGACTGCTGTAACAGTGCAGTTGCTGTTTTGCTCTCCTCTCACAGCTTCAACAGTGCCGTGCCAGCAGGTTCACCGGTGCAGTAACTCCCTGTAGTCTGTATTATATATGCTCACACATGCCCAGAGACGAAGCTGCTGAATTTTCACCACAGCTCAAAAAGTCATCTGTGCAGATTCCAAGCCTATTTTAGGCCATCCTTTCAGCGTGCAAGATGATCGCTTAACCAAATACAAGCTTGAACACGCCTTCTCTGCTTCTTCTGATCAGCAGTAAAGGACAAGCCACTGCCTTCAATTCCTCAGAGTAATGTCACAAACAATAAGACAAAAAACTTCTAAATGTTCTATCCTACTGCAACATGAGCCCTGACAATCTGGGGAGACAGCTTCACAGTAAAAGATGACAAAGATTGGGTTTTTGAAATAAACAGAAAACAATCTTTAATTTATTAAAGGATTTTTTTTAAAAAAAAAAAGTTTATGACGGGAGATATCATGTGACTAGATTTTCACCCTGTAGTTATGAATGCATTCTGAAGTATTTAAATAAAAAAAAACTCCTCAGGTGAAATTCTTTTCATAACATTAAACTTCCAGATATAACATAATCTTCCATTTCTATTATTAAATTAACATCTGTACCCAGAAACAGTTAACTATCTTGCAAATGCCTGATTCCTTAAGTGATGAAATTTTTATTAAAATTTTGTCCATTGATACACGGTAACAACCAATTTATTAATACATCTGTTGCCAATTATCAAGTTATCATGTGCTTCTATTTCATTATTCCTTATTTTCTTCATACCATTTCTCTAAGTGACGTATTCAACACTTTCAAAAGTCAGCACAAATAACCTAAATCTAATAACAGTTTGAAACTCAAAAGCTACTTATAATAAGGCATTGCACACAAATGATGATACAGGAAAAAAATAAGTAAGGTCTTTACAGAATCACAGAATGTCATGGGTTGGAAGGGACCTCAAAAGATCATCTAGTCCAGCCCCCCTGCCAGAGTAGGATCACCTACAGTAGGTCACACTGGTACGCATCCAGACGGGTTTTGAATGTCTCCAAAGGAGGAGACTCCACAACCTCCCTGGGCAGCCTGTTAGAGTGAAAAAGTTTTTGCTAATATTTTTGTGGAATCTCCTGTGTTCCAGTTTGTGCCCATTACTCCTTGTCCTGTCACTGGATGCCACTGAAAAGAGCCTGGCTCCATCCTCCTGACGCTCCCCCTTGATGTATTTATAAACATTAATGAGGTCACCCCTCAGCCTCCTCTTCTCCAAGCTAAAGAGACCCAGCTCCTTCAGCCTTTCCTCATCAGGCAGATGTTCCACTCCCTTCATCATCTTTGTGGCTCTGCCCTGGACTCTCTCAAGCAGTTCCCTGTCTCTCTTGAGCTGAGGGGCCCAGAATTGGACACAATGTTCCAGATGTGGCCTCACCAGGGCAGAGTAGAGGGGCAGGAGAACCTCTCTCGACCTACTAGCTACTGCCCTTCTAATACACCCCAGGATGCCATTGGCCTTCTTGGCCACGGGGGCACATTGTTGGCTCATGGGCATCCTGTTGTCCACCAGAACCCCCAGGTCCCTTTCCCCTGCGCTGCTCTCCAGCAAGTCAGTCTTTTGAATTATCATTGTAACTAGAAGTGTGAACCTGTGTGAACATTCTCTTCTTCTGTACTGTAAGATTTTCCTTCTTTCTAAGTCTTCCTCCGCACAACTAATTTCTTAAGATCTGAATATATGAATTCACAAAATTTCTCATAAAGCATTGTTAGTAATATGAGGTATTATGTAAAAGATTGTTCCACACTTACTGTAACAGAAATTGATGGGCTTTGATAATGAAATCTTTATTCTAATTAGAATTAACATTAAATTTAATCAGCATAAAAATTGCAGTGCCAACAATTTGCAAAACAAGATCTCTGTCCTCACCTATGTTAGCACACTGACAACTCTGCACGTAAATTTAGAGCCCAGATTGAATTTAAGCCCATTCAACTGAGCTCTTCCCTGTAAAACAAACATAGCAGCCAGGAGAGTATATAGTAAAAGTCAAATTAAAAATAAGAGAGAAATGGAAAGCTAGGGTATGGCACGGGTGCAGCAAGCATTAGAGCATTCTTTGGCGAGCTTCAAGACCTCAAGATTCTTTGGGGAGCAAACAGGAACCACAAATTGTTTATAAAGGGGAAGATTTGAATGGAGCTCTGGATTCATGCCAATAAACAGCAGGTAATTGAGTACATATACTGAATCAATCTTGTTATCTTCTGTAAAATAGTTCATCAGTGAAAATCAGGACATGAAAAAATCAGAAATCACCATGTCACCATTTAATAATTCAATACTGGTATAGACATGAAACGATACAAGCTTTCAGTCCACTACACCCATAACCTGTCATTACATAACCATCTGCTAATTCTTCCTACAGCATATTTACAAAGGAAAGCTTCAGTTTTATTTGCAGTCTAGGCCCATTCTCAGACCATCAAATTTTCTAAACAAGAAAGATCAAAAATCATCATTCATTACAATGGAATGAAGAAAAACAAACTGTTTTTACAACAGGAAACCACCTCAGAAATGCAAAGCAACAAGAACTAATTGGAAACGAACAGGTTCATTGAACAATACACCAGATTTTCTCCAGAAGGATATGCTCTTTATAAACAGTTTTTGTTCCATGCCTGCAAGAATACAAGCCAATCTTCCCACACTTGTTGTGGGCTAAATGGACAAAATGTTTTTATATGGTTTTATCTTAGCATTGAAAAAACAAATTCCTATGAAGTCTCATTTTAAATGTGTTATTTCACTCTAATGTTTCTGTTTAATCTCTTATAACATTCCAAAATGGATTCCCTTAATTAAGGCTTGTCATCTAAATGTTATCTCTTGCGATCTGACCCAATATATACCTACTGTGGCACACTATGAGGACTGACATTTTAGATCTCACTGACTGGGAGAAGCTAATTCATGTCTGCTTTTTTAAGTTGACAATATATTTCCTGTGAAATTTTATTAAGAAAGAGGTGAAGATATAAAAATATAGGTAAATGTAATTTTATTATAACTAATGTATTTCCATACACAGGAAAAGATGGTGGACAGGAAAAGCAGAATTTGCACACAATGTATAAGCATTTCTAAATTAGCAAAATTACCTTATTTCAGTGGTAAAGTGATAACACAGAACTTAATCACTATAAACTCAGACCTATAAAAGAGCCACAAGTTTGGGGAACAAATTGTAGATATCTATGGACATCCTGTACTGAGTGAGGTGAGATTACGAGAAAAAAAGAATTTTCTGAATTTCAGATGCTTGAAAGACCAATATAATTCTCATTTAATGATAATTATTAGGGTAATATATAATAATCAGACCATGAAACCCAATTCCCAAAAAAAAAATTAAGAGACTGTTAGCTCTTCAAAATATCCGTATCTTCCATGCGCTGTTTGGCTTGTGATGTCTTTAAGCTTTCACATTTCTTTATTTGATGAGATATTTAAAGAATTTTAACAACTAAGAAGATTCTAATCTAACTTTTCAACTTCTATACCAGAATGTTGTGTTTTGGCAAAAAAAAAAAAGAAAAAAAAAGTTCATGTGTTACTCTGAGCATCTGAGAAAAGTATTCCAGTTCATTTAAGACATTTTATGAAAACTTCAGCTTTTTGTTTCTCTTCTGCTTATTTTAAAAATTCAGTACTGGCAAGCTAATGTGTCTAAAATGATAAGTAAGTCCTAAAAAGGTTAAAAACAACGATAAATGTTGAGCATTTAAATTTGCATCTGAATCTTTAGATTTACAGGGGATACATTTCCAGTATTTTCTCCACAAACATGAATGCTGGTTTTCATTTGTTAACTGAAATTATCAGCTACTCACATGCCTGAAGGAGCTGAGTCTTTAACACTGCAGATAAGCTTATTCTTCCCTCATATCTGGTTTTGCCTATTTAGAGATAATTTAGCTTTAGGACAGTAAGTGGGATCTTCATAATTCTTCCTTCCACTGTTTTCCAGACAGTGTAAGGAAGAATTAAGTCTGTGGCAAAAAAAGGACTGAAATTGCTACAACTACTAATGTCCTGCATTCAAAAGATAAGATTAGGGGTTGCCTCTTATCCAGGAGTAATTATTCTGGGCTAACTACATGCAACAACACAAGTTAAAGGTTGGATGGTTTGTCCACACAGGCTTGGAAGAACAGAGACCCTAAAATTGCTTACCTTCTCCACAGAAGCCTTTCTAGAACTGCTATAATTTTGTAGTATTTATTTAATGCTCCTTCCTAGAGTGAGAAGGTACCTAAGCAGTTTTAATGCCTATATTCTAATAAAGTGAAACATCCTTTAAGATGTCCTAAGCAGATTGGATTCATCCTCAGCAATGTAGAGCAAACCTTATACTCCTCCTGTGGCATCTCTGCAATTCCTTCCAAATGAGTTAAAATGAATGTTGACGTTCATAAAATGAACACGCAAACTTCCAATTTCTTTCAAAATCCACATTTAAATAACATTAAGATTATATCTGTGACGTGCTGAATAGCTTATAGACCACTCTTAAGATGGTCTCATTTGCTTCAAGAATTGATTACCGTAAGATGTTTCCACAAAACCTCTGGTCTGTTTGGCATAAAATAGATTTGGTCACTTAACAACTAAATCAGAAAATGCTAACTTTTTATTTCAAACATGGCAGAACAAAACCACTTGAAAATATAAATCCTTAAAATATTTCCCAGTAAGACTTCCAAATTCAGGTTGGAAAAAAAACAAAACAAACCAAATCAAAAAACAACTTAAATTAAGAAACTTCAAATACAACATTGTTTAATCCCTAAAACACATGTGCATATGCTAATTAGAAAATAGAGATGAACCACCATCTCCCTATCAACAAAAGATACTCTCTGTATTGCTAACAATTCTTGTCTTCAAGAAGTTTTTGGACTAAATAATCCATGTAACAGTAGAGTGCAGTATTTTGTTCTACTCTTTTGGAGTAAAGCCCTGCTGAAGACTCCATCTTGAGAATCAGTGAATTAATTACTTTATCTCTCTTGCTTTAAAGGGGAACAAGTCTTGAGAACTACAGTAACTGCAACAGGAATTCCCCAATACAGTTGCACTGCATTGTCCTGAAATATTTAAGTATATTTATGGCTTTCCTAATTGGTTTTAAAAAACATATATTGTTTTGGGTCTCAAAACAATCACCTGCTTTCAAGTATATATTAGTTTCATATCATCTCAAGTAGACAAATAATTAAAATGATATTAAGTTAATGCTACAGAGTAGTACTATATATTTTGAAGATAATTTTTTTTAAAACATCGTTTTTGCTGGAAAACTTTTAGCAACATCATACTGCAGGTAAAAACTATGAAAAATCAAACAATATTAAAGAAATTGTTTTAGTATTATTTTAAAAGTGTTTACCCACTACACAAAGTACTGTTCTGAATTTCAAATGTTCATTTAAAACATCAAATGAAATTTCAAACTATGGTTACTTTACATTAATCTACAGTAAAGTATCCAATGAAAGAAATCACAATTTTCCAATTAAATTTAAATAACCCACAATACTATGAATTCTTCCTATGTCAGCCAACAAATATAAGCAGTGAAGTACCAGGGAAGTTCATCAGAAAAAACAAATAAGAAATGAAGAAATTGTTCAGAAGTGGAGAAGAAGTACAAAAAAACACCAAAAAACCCCAACAACCCACAAACAAACAGCCAGGCAGCACTACCCAAAGCAGTATAATAGGAGCAGCTTTCTAGATACTAATTATACTGAAGTTTGGGGTTTGTTTTTTTATTAATCAGTGCAAAGGTAGAAAGCTTCAGTAACTCATGCAGTAGGAAATATCTGATCTTGTTTACTAAAGACATTGGAATTACTACTAGTTATATTAACACTGCACTGATTACATACCTTGGAAGACCGAAAACAGAATGCCGTAGACTTTATATCTGCTTTCTCTTTGTCCGTAAGCAGAAGGCTGTTGTCATCCAGGAGACTTAAATATTTTCCTGTTGTTATATGTCTTAGTCTGAATGGCTGTCCCCATCTAATGTGGCTGCCACTCCACCTAAGAAAGTTCATAAGACACGTTTGGTTTTTCTAAAACAAAAAAAAGATTTTAACTCCTGGCAACAATATTTTAAAGTACATTATATTGCCAACTAGTTGGTAAAAGGATAAAAATCTAAATGTTCCATCATCAGCAAGAAAATGGCTACTTTGTGGTTATGTCCTATAAAATTATTCTGATCAATAATCTTAACCTCTTCCTTTGTACAGGCTGCTCTTAAGAGATGATACAGACCGCCTACGGAAAAGGAGGCTTATGCTGTACACACAGAGCTTAGATCTGCCAGTTCCCTCTCTAACATTTCATCTACCAGCAGCTGGGTTTGTTCACTTTCCCAGAGCATTATTCTTTCAGCAGTTAACTCTGGGCATACATTAAATAGTGTGTGGGGGGAAGCTAAATAAACAAAAATCCTTGAGAAATAAATTTTAAAAATTGGTAAGCAAAGACTGGACCAGATTCTTCACATTTTATAGGAGGAAATAACAGGAGAAAGGCAAAAATCTTCTTTCTAAGCTCCCCAAGAATTCTCCAAGTTGAAATATCTGTTCCAGGCTTCAAACTTCTTGTCTTAAACTGAAAAGTCAGCTTTTCCGTTACTCTTGATTAACTCTTGAAGATAAACTTGTGTAAGAATTACTAAGGACGATGCATTTCATGTAGCCTTTTCAGAAAGTTTCTAGAACATTCCTTAGATTGGAAAACTGGCACAGCTAGGCTGTTTTCCCAGATCTTCAAAAAACTTTCTTCAGTCTTGTATCTTCGAAAGCTTACATTTTAGATGTATGTGCATACTGCTTTTTTGGAGAGAAAAGCATATGTTTATTTTGTGTTTGCAAAATGCCCACCCTAATAGAGTCATGACATACTGCCAAGGTTCTAATGTGCTTCCACAAATACCAGCAATACTCTATGCTTAATGTGGCTTGAAATAGATTAAAATTATCAACAAATGTTCACGTAATATTAATGAAATACACAAAAACAATCTTATAAGCTTAACCTGATTATACCCTTACTCCCATATCAGAAATTTTGTATTACTGCATCTTCTCACTTGCTTTTAATATAATTCCAGGAACAGCATTAAAAAACATAAAAAGTTTTTATGTGTATGTTTTCTATATATTCATGTACTAGCTTGAAAGCCCCCTAAGTTAGCACTTACACAGGTTTATGTAAGTTTGTTTTTCCTGACACATACATGTAGCAGATTAAAACATTTACCTATTCGATACAAATAGATATTTGTTTAAGTATGTCTTAAGGGTTGGCCATACTGTGTGCAAAGTATGCAAAACCAATTTGGCAGACATTTTCTAAGTGCAGGAGTATATACCTGGCTTCTGTTTTACAGTGGGATTTATTACACTTCACTAATTAAATTTCTAAACCTTTTAATATCAGAGAGGCCAGAAGAATGAAGGGGTTTTCCCCTCAATTATCTCCTTTTGTAAGCTAGTCTCATCTGCTTAAGCTGAGGGCAAAAGATTTTGGGGAGGAAGAAAATATGGAAACTTTATATCTCAGAAATGCCTTTCTTTTTTTCCTATCTTCTAGGCAACAAAGTCAGTATACTCCACAAAAGCACATCTAAGTATCAGTGTTCTGGCACAACTTCTGCTTCTAAATCAAGTGAAATGCCAGGTCACAAATCTCAGCTATTGTATTGCTGCATCTGGTACAACACATCAGCTCTGCACCTTTCATATCATGGGTCATGCTGGGGAGCTGCCTTTTCTCTAGTTTGATCCAGTTTTCTCTTGGACTCAATAGCTCTGGACTATAAGGAAAGAAAAATAATAAACGTAGTGCATTTGAGCCATGCCCATAGTTCACGCCAGCAGGACAGGAAAAAGGACAATTCATGTGCACTTGTAAGAAAAGTCTTTTGAGCAGAAAATGTCTTGTGAAGCTATTTCTGATGATTAATAATTCTTTTCTGCAATTTGAGAACGTGATCCTTGTCACCTTTTAGGAAGGAAAGCAATGCTGAGCAATAGTATCTGGCGTCCCATGGCAGGGCATCCCAAGAGGCAAGTCTGCATATGCGTGCACTGCCCAGGCAATTTTTATGACAGTTCAGAAACAATGATTCCTTCAGAATCATGTAAAATTAATAGCATTAATGTTATATCTGCATTAATTCTGGAAAGGATTAGAACTGATGAAGGACTTCAGGCATGCATATACCAAGTCACAAACCGAAGTATTTGCATGAAGAGTAATGTACCTGTAGTTCAGAAATGAAGGTGTAAAGCTATTAGAATAATACGCAGGAAAATGGGGAGGTAAGGGACTTGTGAGAGAGAGTTTACTTCTTAAGATTATTTTTTTTCTTCCTCATAAGAAAGTCAGGTCCCTTAAAATGAAAGATTACCGCTGCCTTTGCTTATTTGTTTTGACAGTTCTCACAATTTCTCTCAGTCATGTATGTTTCTACGTTTACACTTCAAATGTTTGCATACAATGCCTGTCAAAGTGAGATATATGACAGTTGTAACGGAAATTTGTAATTTCTCAAATCCCCACACTGCTCCACTACCAGAGCTTATTAAGGAAGTACAGGCAATGAGGACAATAAAAAGCCAGAGATCCTTCTACAGTTTCATTATTGTCACTTAAGCACTCTCAAGGTCAATTTTAGGCCGAAGCAAAAATCTCACTGCCCTACCAATGACATTTAACATCATCCTACTAAATAAAATGCACAGACAGAAAATAGCATCATTAGAATGTAACCTTTCCCCAAGCTTCCCTGATTTAATCTCCACAAGGTAATCATTTATTAGTCATTAGAAATTTTTATCACAAACACATATTGTAATACAATTTAAGTGCAATTTTACAGTGCAATTACCTTAACAAACAAGGCACAATTCATTACTATCATTCCAACACTACAGCAATGCAAGGTACCACGTTTTCTTTAAATTTTTGCCTTTAAATACTTCCAGATGGCTTAAACAACTTTCCGGGTGGCACACATGAATTATTATCTTTAAAGAAAACAGTTCTATTATGTCACATCTATGTGTTAAAAATGTAAATTGTGCATTCACTGAGTGCAAAAACAACTTCATAAAAATAATCAAAACACGCACAGCAAGTATGCACTTTCTAGAGGAAGTTGCTTAATTATTCATGAAAGTGGTACAGATGAGTTTTTGAAGACTATTTTAGTATTATCAGTCTGGTTTTATAGTGATCAATCTGATCTTACAGAAATACTCTTCCTATACAAAAAGTGCCCTCCCAAATGGACTCCTTTTTCCGAGAGAGATTTTACTTACGCAACTCTTAGAGTCTCTAGTCGCCAAAGGGAACGAGCATGAATTGACACAGCACCGCCTTCATAATGGACAGTTCTGAAAACCAAGCAAAGGCACAGACTAAATGTTCAGATCTGTTGGAATAATTCACCTTATTTGATTGTTCATTTGTCTGCAGCTCCCTTTTTTAGACTGCCAAAACAATTATTGCAAGTGTCAAATTCAAATGTTTTCAGTTTCAAAACCGGCTCTTATCAATTAAACCTTCAAACTTAGTTACTTAAATTTTGTTTTAATTGTCTTTATCATCCATTGTGACATTCATAACAATAAGATTTATAAAGTGTTTGCTTAAACATCTTTCTTAGTGTTTTAAGGACAGAGAAATTTTTAAAAAATCAGTAACTTAATAACTACAGTTATTTCTCAATTCTAACAAAAACCAAGCATCTAATGAGGATAAAGATGCACACATCTCACAAGAAGTGTAGTGTCTTCTCAGAGCTTATACTATGAAAATAATCATGCAACTTACTACATAGAATTACAAAAATTCACTTATTTGGCATTGTATTTTATTGTCCTAGCACCTGAAGTTTCACAACCACAGTCATACAGTCTTCACACATCTCAGATGCTAATAGCTTCCTATTTCCAAATTTTAATATATAATGATCCCTTCAGTTCCTGCCTATGTCCAGAAATCTAAGTGCTTCTAAAAACTAGACAATTAAGCCAAAAAAAGGTTGGCTGGGTTTGGTTTTTTTCTCCATTACTCTACACACAGATAAGTGATCTATAAAATGGTTTAAGTTTACAGTCATCAAAAGCCCTGAGTAGTTAACCTGGCTTCTCTTCAAAGTAAAGACTGAGGAATATGGTGAATATTAAGCACTGCCACTTTAGATTTAGGCAGTCATTCTTCCGAGTGCTTCCTGCCTGGATGGTTACTTGTGCCCTAAGACATTCCCAGAATTTAAAAACCCAGGGAAATCAAAAAACCTTTGGGAAACTGAATAAAGGAGTCACTTATGCAAAGGAGTGCTGTCACTATGCTTATGAGATCAAGCATGTCAGGGAGCACTGCCAAGGAATGGACTATTTTTATGGATCCTGTAAAGAGCTTATGGATTGGGTAAATGTTGTGATCTTCAGTCAAGATAAGGCACTGCTAAAAATAGCCAAAAGCATAACTTCAGGCATTATTAATAATGAAACTGTTAGAAACAATTTTTTGAGGACCACAGCTTTTGGAATCAAGTACCTAATACTTACAAGGGTTTAGTCCTCCTATAGATATAATATAGAGGGACTGAATGCTTAGTGCAGGGGACAATGCAGCATTGAAAGTGATGGTTCAAAATAAGAAAAATTGGGCGTTAGAATATACTTCTCAGTACTGGCAACACTACATGAAACTACAGATGTGCTAAGATTCATTTTGGTATATGCTAAAAATCTATTAACGAAATAAACACTCCCAGACATTGTAAATGAATGAAGACAAATTATACAGGGGGAAAAAAACAAATCAAAATACAAAATAAATATGCCTCACTACAGTCACAGAACCACTCACACTGAATATTCATAATCCACGTATAAATAGAAACACTGTCACATGCTCCATGTACCAAAAATCAGTTATAGGTGCATATATAAATGCATACAGAATCCTCCCCTTGACCTTATACCCAGTATTTTCTTCATATATTATCTTAGTTATTTGCTGCAATACTTGTGGGGCTAGGAGCAGCTGACGGGTATTAGTCTTCCCTATCTCTCACAGAAAGGAACAAAATTCAAACAAAATCTTATTCTTTACTGAAATCGACCTTCATTAGTCCAGTAAAATGCAAATTCTAAACAATCTTGCATTCAGCTGCTTCTCTCTTCAGCTACTCTCCTCTTCAAGCATTTGTTCAATTTTTTGTTCTGCAACCAAGAGACTGGGTTTATGTTGTAATATCTAAGCAGTAACAGCTTAGGTATCACTCTCATCAGTTTGGAGGTGGTGGTGTTTGTTTGGGGGCTTGAAGGAGGGGTTGTTGTTGTTTTGAGTTTTTTAAGTCAAAACATTCTGATTAGATCCTGGATTATTTCAGTATGAACCTCACTGACAAAAATGCATTTGGAATTCTTCCACTCACATAATACCAAATTTAATAGTTTTATTCAGTAGTTTTCATTTCACTAAATACAAGAAATCAGGTCAAAGCAAACGCTTAAATTAATCAGAATATTTGAGGCTGAGAGAGTTGGGGTTGTTCAGCCTGAAGAAGACTCAAGAGAGACCTTATTGCAGCCTTTCAGTACTTAAAGGTAATCTTTGAAAGGCCTGTTGCAACAGAACAAGGGGTAATGTTTTAAAATGAAAATAGGGTAGATTTAGACTATAAAAAGAAGATTTTACAACAAGGGTGGTGAGGCACTGGAACAGGTTGCCCAGGGAGGTGGCAGAGGTCCCACCCCTGGAGACATTCAAGGTCAGGCTGGATGGGGCTCTGAGAAACCTGATCTAGTTAAAGTTGTCCCTGGGGTTGGACTAGATGATCTTTAGAGTCCCCTTCCAATTCAATGCATTCTATGATTCTATGATTTCTAAGTTGGTACCTTGTTACTTTTCAGAGATCAGTTTCTTTCTAACACTGAAACTGGAAGGTGTTCCAGTTTCTCAGTCTGAGTACTCTTTCAAAGCTAGCTTTGGATTACACAGTGTAGTTGCATCAGTTAATTTTAAACATCTAAAAAGCCTCTTATTGTGAACTTAAAAGAATGGCTTCTTAGGGGTAACTGCCCATCTGTTATTTTCTTTCTCTGTTCTTTCAAATGGGAGTTATCAGTCTTGAAATGGTCACATAAGATCAGAAGATACGGAAGAGACAGAAGGGAAGAAATCCTAACTAAAAACTTGCAATTTGCTTACCAAAGGAAATAAAAATGATTCTGGGATTGTTTCTTATTTCCATATGAATAAATGGGTACAGCAGCAACAGAGAGAGGAAAGGCAGAAAGACAGGGATAGCACTTGAGGGAGAAAAGCCAGCAAAGTCTCAGCAGAAGAGTAAGTGACAGCAATCTGGAGGGAAACTGAGAAAGAGCTGGGGACTGGATGGCTAGAGATCAAGGATTCCTACGGGGAAGCAAAAGAAGAAGCCCAGAGATTGAGGTCAAGGACGGTGCAGCAAGACTTTTTCCGTGCTGGAAAGAAAATACACGCCACAAAAGAAAAGTTGGCACAAATAACTAGAATAGGGTGTAAAGTCTTGTCTCGTGAGCTAGATACTATCTTCTCTACTAAAACAATGGTAAAGAATAGGTGGCTTTGAATAAAATATAACTTCTTTATTGAGGAGCAAGTCACTTTGCCATTACCATACGAGCATGGATACTAACCATTGCCCCAGAGCAGCAGAACAAATTCATAAGCTAGATCATCTCATACTTTTTTATTCTAAAAAACTCAAAGTTCATTTTTAACTCCCTTCACTAAAACAAATGCAGTCAAGTGCTCTGAGATTGCTCAAGTCAACTTCATTAGAACTTGCTCTACACAAAAAAAAATTATTTGATAGGATGGATCTCATTTCTTTTATGTACTATTGACAACAGTCCAGTGCTGAAAACAAAATGACTCATTAAATTTTAATACTTCCTGAAGATGACCCATAGCAGATAGTGATATTACCGGGTCAAATGAAATATTGCTTTTAATGATCTGTGAATAGCCTACAAAAAATCTCTGACTACCAAAGAATTACTACAGATTTCCATTGATATAATGGAAAAAATAAAATTCCAAGTTGTGAAGTGCACAGAACATGCACATTACTTGCCAAACAGTAAACTTCAAACTACCAAAAACAAAATTGGGAAATTACAAATAATATAAACACATAAGGAAAGTGCAATGAACAGCAGAAAAAGAAAGGGCAACAAGAGCTATAAGGAGTATTAGTGTTCCCTAGAAATCTCAGGATATCTTCTGAACCATACCCATGACACTAATCCCTTAATTCTTTTTTCTCTTTCCAAAACTCCTTTATTTGCACATGCCACATTTATGGAGTAAGGATTTTAACCACTGCTATTTCAAGTTAAGGTATCTATAAGGAGTTGAGCCTCTGAGAATTTTCAGTTCATCTTTTCTATAAACCTTAACCTAGGTTATTATTTGGTGTAACAAAGTCTTTTTTTTTTTCTTTTGGTCTGACCTATGACTGCACATTAAATTTAAAACTTCATTTTCCTCCTGATGATATCATTCCTCTACTTAATTCCCCCTTAATATAAAGCAGTCGCTAGAGCTAGAAGTTGACCCCCAACTTGCCTCCCCGCACCCAGCCTGTGCTTACAGCCCCAAGGACAATGCCTGTCTCACTTCTGCTACTCCTAGCACTCTCCTGTGGCTTTCTGAGAGGTGATATAGAGATAAAGCGACTGTAAACATCAAAAAGAAAGCATGACACATGAATCTCTCCTCTCCAACTACAATAATGAATTAATTACGTAGGTTTAAAATATACTACCCGGGATCAAAATGCCCTGGAGAATCATTATTGAATCATATTCTTATTAAAGTATTGTTGAGCAGAGAGAATGCAATCATTTCAGTGAAATTCACTGACTACAAATGGGCATTAAATGAGGTTAAAATAAATTACATCAAATGAGTGTTTCGATACAGCTGAATTAGTCCTTGTTCAAGAACCTGTACATCCTAAATTTCTTAGCAAGGAAATAATGGAATAACACTCAGCAACTTCAAATGAATCAGGGCATCATAAATATGGCAAAAGTAATGTAACAATATTGCACCTGAATCATACACAAATGAATAAATCCAAATAAGATGTCAAAGTTCAAGCTAAAGAAACTGTTCTACTCCCTTCAATGACAGAAAAGGTTATTTTGTTTTGAATTTGAAAAACCAATCACTGAAGAGCTCTATGTATTTTTTCAAATTAATTTATAATGGCATGACCATTATAAATTAATTGGCTCATGCATTGTTTAGGGCATGGAGAAAAGGTTATTGATTTACGCTGGGTGAAAACTTTCCAAGTTCACACTTCAGTCATGAATAATCCTTCACA